TTTGCATGGCCACCCCCTCCCCGGTCCTGCCACTAATCTACCAAAGTGTGTGCAGCGGGTGGGGAATTGGATGACACATGTCTCACTATGTCCCGGCTGCTCTCGGAGGACAGCACACGAGTGTGCCTGCAAGTGGGCAACACTTCCCCCGGGATGGCCTGCCGGTTCAAAATAAACTTGAGTTATGGATTTATTCAGCTTGTAAAACCTCAGCTGGCATAAATAATTGAGAAAGCAAAGGTTTGTCTGTGGTGCATACCTCAGGGACCCGCTCCTGCCTCCCTCCCTCCCACCACCCTTTCTTATGAAAATGATCCCAGTTGCACTGATAGATAATAACAACACCAAGCAATTAAAAGCTATGGGTGGCTGGAGAGAGGAGAAAAGGTTCAGTTAATGAGCTTTTCCTCTTCCTGTGCCCAGGAGAGCCTCAGAAGTGAGGAGGCGATTAAAGCGAAGAGATAATTATAGATTATGTGAAAATGGGTCCCTTGGGGTCCGAGGCCCTTGACATAAACAGTAAGTGTTGCGAGGGTCTCTTGGCTCCCCGCACGCTGCCTGCTCCGCTCCGCTGCACTCCCGCTCGCTCCGCAGCCCTGTGCCAAGCAGGTGGGCGAAGCCACCTGTTAGTGGCACCAGGGGCTGCTGGGACGAGGCTTGGACCAGCCCCAGGAAAAAGGGAGAGGACGCCCCAAGTAGCACCCGATCGCAGCCTCTCTGCCCAGAGCTTTGTGCTGGAGGTAACCTGTGAGGGGGGAGGAAGGGGATGGGGCAAACCTGGAGGATGCTCTCTGTGTGAGGGTGGGATATCTGAATTTTGAGTCTCTTCTGTGTCCTTTTTCATGGCAGTCTTGGTGGCTGTTTAGGAAGCAAATAGGTTTACAGCACTCCAGGTAAGAAGTGAAGGCAGATGAACCACTGACAGGTCTTTGCCATGAGCTGTTTAAAAATTGTTGTCTCACCACATGTGTTTTGGGCAGCTTATGAAGAAGGCTTGTGCAGCCTTCCAAGCCTGGAAAGAGATGGCTTGGTTTGAGTCCTTCCATTCAAGGATGGAAAAAGCTGTCCATGTGTTACCTGCAGGCAACAGATATGCTTCAGCTTGACATGGAATCACAGTTACCATCTCTTAGTGGGGATGGCGGAGAGCAGAAGAAAATAGCTTTGGGGGCAGAATGTGTGTCAGGAGGCAAGGAGAAGAGAAATCCTTCTGGCCATCCTCAAGAAATGCATTCACTGCTTTTCCTGGCAGTCAGGTGGTCACTGATTTGAAGATGTTTTTAGCTCAACAAAAAGAACCAGTACTTGTGTATTGTACAATCTGGCACAGAAACAAAATTGCATCTCAGTCTTCCTTTTAGCTACAGATTTAAAATAATTGTGTACATCTGCATTTGGTTGAGTTTTATGGTCTTTCCCATCTGAAGATGTCTTGAAAGCTGTGTTTTTACCTAAATTGAGATTTCTCTGAAAATACTGATAGGAAAGCTTTGGTTTCCCTCTCTCCCCCTGGCATTAGCTGAGCAATGTCTTTGCAGTGTCACTCACTTTTTGTATTTCTGATGTGCTTCTGTCTGGTTTTAGACTGTTTCTACCCGTTTCCAGGCCTTGCTCCTGACTCCTGCCAGTTTTATGTGGAGTGCAAATTCCTGCTAGGAACCGGTCTGATAAAAATGCTGCATCTTTTTTGTTCTCTTGTAGCTGCTATGGTGGAGGGATTATTCAATATGGACTTAAACACACGTGAAATAAAAGGAGGGTGGGGTGGGAGGGACCTGAGTTGCAAGGTTTTCAAGCTGTGTTTCTTGTTTGTCCTTGTGTGGTTTTGAATGCAAAGTCAGCAAATAACAGTAAGGTAAGAGACAGAAGATCTTGCTTCCTAGGAAGCAAAGGCTGGTTTTAAAAATATTACGATAATTTTAACAATATTAAAGACAATATTCCATTCACACCATTTAAGTGGAGCTTTTTCCCTGGTGTTGGTACCTCCAAAAAAATTGAGTTTTAACTCATCTGAGCTCTTTTCTCAGTTTCCCTTCTGGTTTTGGCACATGACTAGACCAAATTGTTTTAAATGTCTGGAGTGCAGCTTCAGGTGACTATTTTGTTTGCAGGTAAAATGTCTTCATTACGACTGTATGGACTTCCCTTGCATCTATTCAGGAAAGGACTCTTTTCCTCTTTGTTAATATTTAAAGAAAAGTTGCAGATAATGTATGCTAATTTTTTAAAGGGGGCATCAGGGGCAGAGGAATGGTTTAAAGCTTGAGAAGTAAATGCAGAGAAGAAAGACGAAATTTCCCAAAACCTTATCTTCAGATGGGGAAATTGCTATTCTGGATTAATTCCATTGTGGAGACTTCTGAAAGAAAAGTGGTTTTTTGGAAGGGGGATATATAGAGCATTTGCAGAGGTGGTTATTCCAGAAAAGCTAAATCATATCCAAATAGCTGTGTCAGGTCATTTCCCCCTTACAGACAATAATATCCTCAGGAAAAGACTGTACGAATCTTTTCTGAAGGCTGTGGTAGGAAGATTGCCTGGTTTTGCTACGTCAGTATTACCATGCCCTCTCTGCGCTGGTGCAGACCTGCGGCACACTCCCTGCAGAGCTCCATCGGTTGCTTTATCACTGCCCTGTGCTGTCTTGTACCTCTGGTGCTGCTGCACGAGGTGCCCAGGCTCTGTGGCACATGAAAACGTTTGAGAGGTTGGACTAACAAGGTAGGGCTGGAGGGACTTCCCAGCATATCAAATCAGCCCTTGTTAGTAGGGGCAGGCACGTCTCGTAACCTCCATCATGAATCTGTCAAGCTCCATCTCGAGCAATATAAGCTTTTGCCTTTTCTAATCCCACAATGAGATTCTCTTTTCCCCAGAATTCAAAGTAATTGCCTCTAAAGCATGCAGTGATCTGTTTTGCAGGAGCTTGTGTGTAGTGTACAAACAAGACCTCCAACAAATGAGTTTGTGAGAGACTGCTTAAGAAACTAGAAGACTTCTGTAATGTTCCTAGGCCTATACATGGAGTGGGAAACCTTGTGCAGCACGTGGCTCTTTACTAGAGAGGTACAGCTCAGCTATGCGAAAGGACTACTTGTGTACAAAGAACAGGGGTGATGTGCAGAAGGGTGCTGCTGATGGAGCAAGGTGAGAGAGAAAGGTCAGAGGAAGTGACTTCTTCAGAGAAAGCAGCACTCTCCTGGTGGAGCCGAATATCGGCACTTTTTTCCCCACCTTTTACTGCCACTGAGGAAGGGGAAAAGTTGTTTGAGATCTGAGGAATAGTGTCACTTAGTAAGCTAGATGCGTAACAATAAAAGGCAAAGTTGTGTCATGGAGCTCTGCCTGTCCTGATGGGAGCAAGAGTGAATGTACTAATGGGTGAAAGAGCAGAATGGAGTGGAAAATGGACCTGGATGCAGTCTCTAGTTGTAGAAATCCTTTGCCCGCTGAGCTTTTTGGCCAAGGACAGATTACTTCACGTTGGTCCTGTTTCTTGTGCTTTTTTTCCTCCAAACCACCGTTAGTGGCCACTGTCTGAGATGGATGGCATTGGAAGGGCCTTTGGTCTGACCCAGAGTGTCTGCTATAAGTTTGTATAACAGGGAGAAGAGCAGCTTTAGCCTTTTATCTTTGGTGGGATTGCAGTGATTTATATCAGGTTTTTATTGCGTGACTTTATAGACTTCTTGTGCCAGTTCACAGGAGTAAGCTGACTTTTATCCTTGCGTAATATTGTTAAAACCAGCCTTTGTTTTCTAGGAAGCAAGATCTTCTGTCTCTTACCTTGGGAAAAACCTGTATTATTCTGCATGCGCAATACCAGGTATCTGTTTCAGCCCAGTGATGCTACAGAAATGTCTGTAGACATTCCTACAGACTTTCTATGTGTCTGTAGTTAGAGCGTACGATGTGCATGTGGCCTTTGTTGTGCAGTAACACCGTGCTTCTTTTGCTTTTGTTTCCTGACTAGGGAAGAGGACAAGAACATTTTTGATTACTGCAGAGAAAACAACATTGACTATGTAACTAAAGCCATTCGATCCAAAAAAGTGGATGTGAATGTCACAGATGAGGAGGTATGGAGAAAAAGATAAAGACCATTAATCTTTTAACTGTTTTGTGTATTAATTCAATGCCACTTTTTTTAAAAAATTGCCTGTCTAGGAGTGTTACAACAAGGTACTACAACAGTGGGACAAACACTTGGTCATTGAGACAGGGATAATCTGCTTGAAAACAGTTTGCCACTGGATTTCTAGTAGTGTGGATGTACTGTGATGCTGTAGCATAGTGGAAATTTCCTTTCTATGTTATTTTCAGCAACACCAGCAGCCACTTGCAGAATAAGATCTTCAGAATACCCCCTTTCTCCGCCTTGTACACTAAATGTGGTCAAGGAGAAGTAGGAAGTGAGGGAAATCGCTTTTTTGACCAATGGACTCTGGTCACGGGTGAAGTAGGGTTTCTGCCATGCTGTCAGCTTTTCATCGTTCCCAGGCAGACAGTCAGTGAGTGACACTGGCTTTCCAGCTACACAAAAACAGTGACATCGTCCAGTCTTTCTCTGCTCATCAGAGTCAAAACACCATTTCCCCATAGGGAGATAATACAGGCATGGCCAGAAACATCAAGAAAATAATAAGTGTCTAAAATGGTGAATTGCAGGAACCTTTTCTTGGTAAAGGTAAACACCTGGTGCAGCCAGTTTCCTGCTCTCTCCCTTCAGGAAATGGAGCGGTACCAGCTTTAGCACCTTGGTTTCGATGCTTGCATACTGCCACCTAGCCCTGCTTGTCGGTCCATCATACATACAGCCACTCTTGCCCGCTGCTTTCTAGCACATTGTGTTGGTGAACAGATGAAGTGCTTACACATTCATAGACTGAGACGCCACAAATTCAGTTGGGTTCTCCTATAGCTCTAAGCAGATTTCTGCCCTCTGAGCCATGACAGCCCCGGCTGGGGCTCTGAATGCTGATGGCAGAGCCTTTTATTATTAATCAGGAATTCATGTGAATTAATTTTCAGACGAGAGGAGGGAGGGTGTTCACGATCAGGGTTGGAATTTCACATCATAAATTCAATGAACTGAAACTGTCATGTGCCACAGTTGCTGCAACAGCGCCATTCCTGAGCTCCATCCCTCTTTCTGCCAATCACAGGTTACTGAAGTAAATGTCCAGGGCAGTCCCACAGAACACAGCTGGAGGCCTTTCATTAATAAAAGCTCGTTTTTGGGGTCACACACTTGCAATAAATGTATAATAACATCAAGTTGCTTCATTTCCACTGGCAAGATGCTCTTTCATAGTTAGCAGGGTTCAGAAGTTCATACCTTCGTTGTATTCAAGCAACAAATGTGCTTGTTTTCAGCCAAAGAAATTTTGGGTTTAAAAAATATTTGGTGAAAGGTGGCTGAAAGTTTTGTTTGTTTGTTTGTTTTCTAACAAGATAAATGTTTAGAGACAGACCTGAAAACTGTCAGGTGATGACCTCTTTGGGAATTATTCACGAGTCTCTGATATAAGAGAAGACCTATTTTTGAACTGACGGGTGTTAGCACCTGACTGTTGCAGAGTATGGAATTGCTTCTGCAAAGACAGGAGCTGAAAACCCTGCCTACCTCTGAAGGGCTCATGGAAAGATTCCCACTTGTGCAAAAATCCCCCATAGGTGTCATTTTCACAGCCTCCGTGATTTTGGCTTAGCCCAGCAAGTGCTCAAACAAGGAAGTAAAACCTTTTGGGGTTTTTTTGGCAAGTGCTGACTTCCTTAGGTTTGACTCTAATTGGAAAAAAATATATGTGATTCTGTGATATGTATTTATTTCAGATTTTTCTTTTTGGTATGCTAATTTTGATTTCATGCTGTGTTAAGGAGCTGAAACCATTACTAATGTTGTTCGGTATCCAAACCTATACGTCACAATCTGGAAGGCAGCTTATTTTCCGATATCGTGCAGGTTGATTGAAGTTTTAGAACCCATTTTAGACTAGAGATAACCCAGACCTAGCCTTTGGTAGAGTAAAGTGTATGCAAGCGTAATCTTGTCAGTTTTATTAACTATTTTAGTGTTACTGTATAAATACATCCTGCCATATCCAAAAGATGCCTCTCCCAGCCCTCGGATCATAACTCATGCTGTCACTCCTTTGATTTAAATGCATATAAATTTAAAATGGCAGCAGGGATACCTACAAAGAGTTAACTTGTTATGGAACAAAATCTACTGAAGCACCAAATAGTCTCATGTTAAACTGCATAGACACTAGGCTCAGCCTTTCCTCGTACAATAAAGACTTGACTGAGGTTGTAAGGTATTTAGATTTTATTTCTATGTGGTGTGTTAGTACTGTGTCTAATTGTATCCCCTCCTTTTGTGCAAACTTGAAATAAGTTAGCAAAGGGAGAAAAGAAATCAAGAATAAAAATGTAAAACGGGGACAAGCCAACCTCCTGGAAGCAAAAGGATTTCAGAAAGGGCAATAGAAGTCTCTTGGGGGTTAGAGAGAGACACTTGGCAACTTTCACAGCATAAATGGCCTTCGCCCCACAAGAAATAAAGATCTTCGTGTACAGCATTCGAGCCAGCATACCTGCTAACAGTTTGGATATAATAAACTTCAATTTAGAATTAAACAAAGAGTCTAATGACAGTAATCATGTACAGCCTTCCATTTACTCTATCTAAATTGCTCAGAGTTCAACAGAATAGCTTGCATTCACTTAGAAGTAGCACAGGCTAAAACAACGTCTTTCTCTTACGTATGTCAGCAGGACTAATGAAATAAGAAATGGACTGTGGCTGTGGAGTCACCACGGGCACATCCTGCTAGCATGGATTGCTTGCTGCCTTTTTGAGAACAATATTTCTTCAACTTTTAACAAACTGAAACTGCTCAAAGGCATACATGAGTTGTTTTTGTAATTTGTGCCAAGGGCTGTGGAGGTTGTAGACAGATTTTTTTTTTTTTTAATTGTTGAAGGAGTCCCAGTAAACAAACACCGTTACCTGTGTGCAGTATTTAAAGCCCTTGCCAGAACTTTAATGAAAGACATCTGAAATGATGCTCGCTTAGTCCCTAATCCTCATGCTTCAGAGACAGCAAGTGCCAAATTGGTGCCAGCTTGCCAAGGAAAGGACAGGGGAAAAGATAGGTTTGAAGAAAGAGCACGTATTTCTGGATTTACAGGCTTACTCGGATTAGAAAAACTTCCCCAAATGTTTCAGAGCTCTGAAAGCAATTGACTTCCAAGTCAAATCAAAAGTCTACCTGTGTAATAGCAACAGTGGCCCTTCCATTCACTGTTTTTGCTGTCTGGGGAGGATGCAGCCGTTATATATATATATCTTCTTAATTACTGGTAGTAAAGCATTTGCAACAAGTTAGTGGCTCTCATTGCTATACAGCCATTACAGCTGCAAACATCGTGCCTAGAAGTAGAGCTTAATATTGTAGCACATCCATTCAGTTTGGCTTTGTTCTCCTCTTTCTCTGCGCTGGCTAATTGATGTGAAAATCATTCCCATCCGTTTGTCTGCTGAGACTGGGTGTATTGGAGACAAATCCCTGTCCTGTGCTTTGTTTGTGAACACCCTGTGACTTGGAGCTGAGCAAAATTGATGTGCTCTTGGCTTCAGAAACTGCTGCAGAAGCTGGCCAAGCTGGCAGCGGTTATCCAAGCAAAGCACGGAAGATTTAAGAGGCAGGGTTAGTGCACTGGGGCTATTTTTATGCTTTTTTTTATTAAACACTTCAAAGGCAGGAGAAAATGCGTCCTCTCAAGTAACTTCTGCAACAACTGGTGTGTGTTTGAATTGCATGGAGGGAGTACCTACATGTATGGTTGCATTTAGTCAAGACTACTGCAGTGCTTTCCTATACAAAATTATTTGTATTGCTTTCAGCCTCTTGCTGCTTAATGAAATAGTCATATGGGAAGCGTTTTGGGAACGCTCAATCTGTGGCTCTTAAGATTTCTGCCATGTTATTTAAACACACAAACACATGTTGTATGCTGATATAAAGCAGCAGCTGTGCGGACTAAAGAATTTTTTGACGTGCATAGGTGATAGACCATGCTATACAAAGAGTTGGGTTGTATATTCAGTTTAAGTTTGTCTTATTGCAAAGGTTTATTTTAAGGAAGACATGGGAAACAAGTGGATTTTGTAGCTGTATAGCTGCTTAGGTACATTAGCTAGAACTCCTGAGCATTTTAATTTGCCTGATACTATGCAAACAGTAGTGAATATTATCTTTTTTTAAATACAAATTTCTTAGTAATGCTTTTATTATACGTTAAGTAGGTTGAGATTTTTCTGCAGGTGTTTTTTATTTCCATATCAGATGGCGTGCTCTTGCACAGAAGGTCTCCAAAGTCCCTAACACCCGGTGTTTAGGGTGTAGCGTGCTGCAAGGATGCAGACATTTCTTGGGTAGAACGTGTCAGCTTTTTAATAGTGCACAATTACAATGCGGAGCCATTTAAGGCACTAATTGGAAAATATTGTATCCATTTAGAATTGCAGAGAAAATATATAGGTAAGCAGAGTGTAATTACCCAAAGTGGAACTGGCCCAGGACTTGAAATCCATATTCCTGCAAATAGCACAAGGAGATTTTTAATGACTATAGAGGATCAGGCTTTGGTTTCTTTTCCTGTTCACAAGGCAGGAGAACCAGCCTTGGTTTGTCCTGGGAAGGGACCATTTGCAGCAGAACGAGCCTTCCAGTGTCCTGGGAAGGGACCAGTTGCACAGTGCTGGAGTAGCCCTGAGCTGACAGGATTGGCAGCACGCTCTCTCCCACACTGTTGGTTTTCCTTTATTGGTCTCAATCAAGTTCAGCACCAGTAAAATGAGATTCTGCTTGTCCAGAGACAAATGGAAACCAACATATTACAGCTACTAATCTGCAATGTGAATTTTGATACAAAGGACAGAAATGCCTTTATCTTGTCATGTAATTGCACAATGGCTACACTTGTGTACTTACAATATCATTCCTCTACACAGATATAAAGAAACTGAAATTACCTGTTGAAGTATTTATTGCTGTCATGCATATTGCAGATAGTGCTGCTTTCTTTTGAAATAAACATCTGTGGTACAAAAAAAAGTTGGTATTTGTCCAACTGGAATCCTAAGTCTTAAGTAATTACTCATCCAGAGATGAGTTAAGGATGCTAAACATGAGTTAAAGATCTTTCCATGTTTACCAATTGTTTTAAATTGTACTCTTTC